TTTTCAAATTTTACATTTGAAATCTTTATAATATCCAGATAATTATCAAACATTTCTTAAGAAAAAACTATATTTTATCTGTTATTTTTAGTAACGAATCTCTGTACAGGTTTGGTCGATATGGCTGATCTCGTAACCATGTTAAAAAATGAGGAAATAAATATAAATTATGCCTCTTTCATTCTAGAATGAACACAAAGTATAACACAAAAACATAAATGTTCAGACTAAATAGATTAAATCTCATAACATTATACATTTATATATATTTATTATATTGACCTTTCACCCATGCCTAGCTAACAATACAGAAGTTACAATGACGAGGTGCACGTTCACTCATGTTACCGTATCCAGTAATATAAAACTAACCTTTAGTCTTTACAAAGTGAGCTGTCTTGGCTGTATTTTAGTTGACTAGTATTTTGTAAAATACAGTCACATTTCAATTATTATACATTATATATCTATATAAGTTATTGCTATTTAGAAACATGCTCTTAATCTTATTTTTCTTAAAACAGAACAGTAAATAAAGAAGTAAAGCAAAAAAAGATATGACCTTTGTACTTGGTTGCTGCTTGACATAGGTTGCTAAGCCTTTTAAAATTTTGCAAGTGGAGGATTTTGGAAAGAAAAAAATTTTTTTAGGTTTCATATATATAGTTGAATAACCAAAAAATCATAAATTATTATATCAGTAACATGGAATTCTACTATAATTTATCAAGCTTAGTAACTCAGCTGTATTTCATTTTTAAAAAAATATGAAATTTTAAGCAGACTAAAGACAACCTACCTCCTTGAAATCTTGTGGTTCGAAAGAAAGATATGGCATCCAAACATATTAAAATGGCTGATAAAGCCACTAGAGTGACATTCTGAGCTTTCTATTGGTTATTCATGTCATGTATAGAAGTAAGTGTATATAAGAGAACGTTTCCAAAAATCGAAAGAGGTGGGCAGGGGTAGGGGCACTGTGTTTGATTCAGTACAGGAACGATATCTTAGCAAATATAAAAGTTTTTTTTTTTTATTCTTGGTTGTCAATATCAGTAGTTTGAGTTTCTAGTTCGTATGAGATTGTAGATTCTGTATTTTGACATGACAAACATCTAATTTGAACCAGTGCTGCATTCAACATACCAAGTGACACCCAAAAATCAATGTTTAACTTTGTTTTTTAATATTTACTGTTAAAATAAGAAATTAACTAAAGTATAATTACAAAATTTGAATTGTAATCTACAAGTCGATACAACACTTATTGACATAGCTTCATAAAATAGTAGTTCAATAAAATTTTGAATGCAAGTCAACAAAAATGATGACATGGCCTTTGACACTTGACCCGTCATGATAGGGTTAAGGAATGGTGTCACCTAGTCACAGGATTATAGATAAAGACAAGGTCAAGTGTGTGATTGAAAACTAAATGAATAAACTCAGGCAATTTTGGCTTATTTTAGTTAGGGCCATTATCATGGTTTAGTGAAAGATTACATGCTTTGATGATTTATATGGTTTTGAAACAATCTACTTTTTTTTTTAGTTTTGGGCTGGTGTATGAGAACAATTTTGTCCCAAAGTATTTTGTGCTTAAAAATTATTGTTTGTCAATTCATTATGACAGTAGCTTAGATATCATAAATATAAACTTGGTGTACCCTAGATTTTATTTGGTTGTGATAGAATATTTTCTGTTATGCAGTTGAAATATTTTTGATAAGCACTCAGTTTTTTAAGTAGTTTTTATCATTGCTTTAATCCAAGGTTGCAGTATTAAAGCATGAAAATGCATGATTAGGAACTTATTGCAGTCTCAACTCCCATTCCTTCTAACTGGAACTGAGCACTGTCTATGTGACAACCAGATAGCAGGAAGGAGAATCTGTTGTGTATTCAATTGTCCAGCAGGGAAAACAGAGGAAAGCATGGCTAAGGTTATTTGGCCAGTCAGAGATCACTGGGAATCTGGGATTGGGAAGTTTCAGGTTCTGGGGATACTTGATCTGTGGGTGAGATAGTACATAAGTACATGTGAAGCCTCTAGCAGTGGTGTTTGAACAGTACCTGGCATCAAAGTTTATGGCTGTAATCTTTCACAAACTAAAATTCATCTAACCTTGCATTTAATTCTGGACATTCAGTATTTGAGGTCAAATTTTGTCTATGGTCAGTCTCTCTACTTGACTGTGATTCTTCGGTTTCTCTCTCTCTTTCTCTTGAAGTATCTTGTTACAAGCCATCATTATTACTATAACTCCAGCTATGAAGTTAGTGAGCTTGTCGAAGATGCTTCAGACTTCATGTACAGCGAGAGCACTGCTGATGTTGCTGAACCTAGAACAACTTAGGAGCTGGCCTGATACTCACTGTGGCTGGGCACATGGATGAAGATGCATTACTTGCTAATGTATATGACATGCAAGAACTCTGTGTTTGTCAATCAGGTTGGCCCTATAATCTCTAGGGGCTATGCAAAAGCAGCATTAGGTCTTGAGGAAGCTAAGACTGAAGAAATACTGTCTTGAAGGGTATTACATTGGCAATGACCACTTCTACTTCAGAGGAGCCAAACTTACAGATGACTCAGAAGCTTTTCACCTTGACCCTGTTGATGCTTTCTGAGAAGGATCCACAGGCAGAGAAGAAGAAATGGGTCCTGCAGGTCAGAGGATGTGTTATCACTATCAAGTGATTATGTTAAATGTGTTCACATTTTTGACAGGCACACTATATTCCTAAGCCCAAGAAAAATGTTTCTGGATCCTGAATCCTTTTGAAGATTGACCAAATGTCTCAAAGGCAGGGGCAGGACAGGCTCCTGTTTACTACTGGCCACTGTGGGTGTAATGACTACCTGATCTAGCATTTCATACATGACCACCATGACATCAGAAGTGGTGCTGACAAGCCAACCAACTTGTGGATCTTCTCTTCCACCACTACCATGCTGGGAACATCAATATTATTGAAGGAGCCTCTACCTTGGTGACAGGAGTTTCAGCTGTGAAGATGAGAAGGACCCACACCTTTGTATCAGCCAAAGCCCCACTGGCTAAATGACCCTAGAATTAGTTCTAAAGAATGCTGAGGGTTGAACTCCCAACTAACTCAAAAAAGGTGATTATGAACTGTCCTACACTAGAGCAGTTTCCAGTGCTGAAAAGGCACTGTCTGGAAATGGGCACTGATTGGACTGAAGCTTATGCTTTGTACAGTAGAGGAGGACTGGTTGCATCAATAGGTAATGCCTTCATTGCAAATGGAGAAGGAAGTGAAGAAGTACACCACTTGTGGGGAAAACTGGCTGACACAGAGAGAACATTTTCCAAGGCCAGGAAAACCTCAAGACCACCATGACAGCACCGGAGAATCTGCTGACAGGATTAAGGTGATGGGGAGTGAAATCTTGACAGACTCTGGGCTAGTCTTAAATTTTGTATATATATTTTTTTACTTAAATTCTAAATTTTATGTATTTTCCAATATTTCCAATAATTCAAAAAATGTTATGTATGTTTATTCTTATTTAATTTTTTTTGTCTAAAGTGTTTAATATCAGATAGTTGTATGTTCCTCTTTAAAAAAAAAAATAATATATATATATATATATATATGTGTGTGTGTGTGAAGTTTTCATTAAGTATCAGATTTTTTCTTCTCTACGTTATATATATTTTACTTAATGTTTTACCAGTAAAGGTTCCACCTTTGTATTTTACATTTTTGGTATGTGTTTGGTCATCTTTTAGCATAAACATGAGGTTCATAAAACTGTTAAGTTGTTTTTATTGTAGTTATCTTTGTTTCTTTGCTGTTCTATAGCAGATAACATCTACTCTCTCCACAGGGATATTGCTTCAACTTCACACATTGTGCAGAATAGGTCAATGACAAAATTGTGTTTCATTAACTAAGTAGATTATATCTAGAGATGACAGCCTTCATTTTATTGTAGGAGAATGACCAGTCGTATGGTAACACATGTTATTATGGGTAAATCTTATATTTCCTGTTAGTACAGAGAATTGGATTAATATCAGTTTTGTTGGTCAACACAGTGAATAAGTTAAAAGAAAGATATTTTGAAGGAGGAAAGCTGTTGACTGATTTAATGATCCTTTAATGTGGCTACCCAGTGACTACTGAAGTATACATATTGTGGTTTTGCTTTATGTATTACAAAAATTGTTTCACTGTACATCATGTGTGGAGTCTCTTTTATTTTCTTAGCTTAGACTCAGTCATTTAGTTAATCTTAAATTTCCTTCACAATTTTCCTGATAGATCCTCTCACTATATAGTGGACCTATCTTATATTTGTGCAGAAATCATTTTCACCTGTGAATACCACAGTTTTAATATACAAACATTTCAATGTCGTTTTTGCTTAGAAGTTCAATTATCTAGAAGGAAAAATTAACTGTTTTAGATAAAAAAGTAAAATGAATTTCAAAGTTATTTTCATTATCATTTATTTTCTTTTTTATATTTAGATAAAAATATCAAAGTTTTTCTCACATAAAATTACCGAACATGTTTTTAAAAAAGAATAGATGAAACCTTTAGTAAAGAATATTTACTGTCTGTAATTAGGTTGGCCTGTACTCTATAGTGAGTTATGTGTGATCAGCAACAAGTGATAGTTTTTATGCTTTCAAGTTGAATTTGTAACTGATGAAATTTCCAGAAATTCATACATAGAATTTTGGGCTTACAGCTTGTGAAAAATATGGTAACTCTCTGTTTTTTGGAAAATATGTATGATAACATTTAAATACTGCTATTATGACTGTGTTAAATAAGAATTTCTATACTTATAATTATAAGACCTGTTAAAATTTAAATGTGCACACCCCTGAATAAGGGATTTAAAAAATTAAATCCACCTGAATATTTAACATTAGTTAAAAATTTGATGTGTTAATTTTTTTCAGTGTTGTGTACTTCTAAATGTTTAATATGATGCATTGGTTTTTTATTTTTCATTAAAGGAAACAGCCAAAATTGAGTGTTGTTAGTGTTCATCAAGCTAATATTCCTCCAAAAGAGAGTGTGACTTATAATAAACAAACTCAGACAGCATCAACTACAGTTGACAGAGAAGGTAATATATGTGACATCTTTTATAATAGCCAGTTGAATTGTATTTTATTTGATTACTACTTATTTCTTAAATAGCAATAAAAAGTTATATTTCAAAATATGTTGTAGAATATCATACACTGTTACCAAGCTTACTGTAAGAAACTGTTATTATTGTATTTGAGGCATTTGTATTGACTAATCTGGTGTATTTACAAATGAAATATTTTGTAAATATTTTATTAATATTATGAGCAGAATTGTAATTTAATCATAAACATAACTATTTCTTTTTTTGTAATAAGCAAATTGATTTTATTAGTTTTGTATATGAATTACTTAAACATTTTATAATCTTGCCTATACCATCTTATCAAAGATAATTAGTAAAAAATTCTTATTTACTAAAGCTTTACACAAGTAGTGGTAGAAAATAATTACTTGAAATGTGAAAACAGTTTAAAAATAAATGTACATGAGCTTGTAAGTAACTGAATTTATATATCTTATATATAAGTTTATATATATTGCTTGAAGGATTTAAAAATTAATAAATTTTTGGAAAATTTTGAATTTTACTTGAAAATGACTAAAATTTAACTCTCTCGCTACAGGCTTGATCAGTTCAACATAAATCTTGACCCCAAATTCACCTTTAATGCTTCCATACTATGACTTTTAAAATGATTTGTCTATCTTCACAAACTTTTGCAGGCTTTATGTAAGCATTACAAGTCTTTTGTAAAAAAAAAAAATTAAATTTTTAAGGAAGTATCTATATATATACTACTAAAACTCTGAGATTGTTTGTTTGCTTGTCTGTAATTAAATACAGTAAAAACGGTGCACAATAGCACCATATTTCTAATGAAATGAGAATAGAAACAGAATAAAACACGTTAAAATTTGGCCATGGGTTACCGAGTTAGCGGCGTTTTTCGGGTCACTTCTATGAAAATTTCTAGTATGAGTAATTTTATATCACACTACCATTCGCGCTCTTTACGAAACTTCATTGGGCCACTGATTACTGAGTTAGCACCATTTTCCGGGTCACTTTTATGAAAATTTCTAGTATGAGTAATTTTATATCACACTACCATTCGCGCTCTTTACGAAACTTCATTGGGCCACTGATTACTGA